TTCATCTTCTCACCTATTAGCCTATTAAAAAGTGTTGCACATACAATTAACATCACTATGCATGTATTTGTCAACTACAACATCAAATGTCAATTTGAAGAAATACAAATGAAGCGTTTCTCGGTTCCGCTTTGTGTCTGGTGTCACACTGCGCAGCTTGTCCTACGAATAGTTTAAAGTTTAAAACAAAATACACACCTAGGTTTAGCCGATCTGAGTGAGGGGCTGAAAAACAATCAAACTTTTCCAGGAAAACAGAGATTATTTCCAGGATATTTGGTAATTTTCATCAATTTCCAGGTGTTTCCATGACTGGGGGTTATTCGGGGGGATTTTTGTCATTTTTGCGCAGTACACACACTGAGCTGAAGAACGAAGGAGAAGAGAAACAGCTGTAAAGCCAGAATATTTTCACACCTAACTCAATTGAATTAGGGTTGACCAGTTTGACGAATACAGTAACAAGGCAATTTACAGCGGCTCCGACCAGGACTCTGAGGACGATGAATACATGGTCAGGCATCAGAGAGGCAGCAAAAACTATGTGCCCTCGTTTTGTAAAAGTCGGTAAAAAGACAACCTCTGTGAGCCTTAGTGCTAGAATATCGAGTAGTGCACAGTGTACCTGTCTCCACTCTGAACTCCCATAGGCACGCAGTAGTTGAGCTCCAGTCTGGCGATGTTCCCAAGCCGCAGCACGATGCCCGCCCCGTACGACCATCGAATACACTCTGCTAGCTTCTGAAGGTGTGCCCGTGGACCGTCACCTGCACACACACGCAACATTTAAAGACTTTTTATTCCTATTTTGACTACATTTCATTATAATACAGTGGTAACATGTACACAGCTACTTTAAAATAATATTAAGATTGTATTTTGATTGTTTCTTTACATTAGTCTAAATCAGTCCTTTACATTACAGACTATCTAACAGCAGGCATTTAATGCATCTAGTACCATCTTCAGTGCACCCACCATAGTTGAGGTTGCAGAGGTTGCCTGCGTTGAGGAAGAAGTGTGTTCTGAAAAGGTCTCCAAAGCCGCCCTTGCCTGGTCTGAAAGGCAGCGGGGTGTAGAGGTGCAGGCCACCTGCCCAGTATGCCTCTCCACCCAGATAGTCACCTGGAACACACAAAGAGAGGATTCAATCCTGTATGAATGTCTATACATAATGCACTTCTACTTTTTATAGATGCAACAAAGGTCTCCAGCTGGAATTGTATCAGTTGCTTTGGTATTTGTGTTAACCACTACAGTATGTCCCCTGCATGCCCACACTACACACAACACCATTTTTTACATAGATAATGGATTAACCATAGTACCAATTTGAGAACAGCAGATTGTTGCTCTTTTACATTTTGTAGCAAAATCCTTATTATTTTACGTACAACTACCATTCTAAATGAAAGATGGATTTTGATATATTATGGGCAAATATTCAGCACTTTGACTTTTTACCTTCACTCTGTGGTCCGATACTGTACATCCCAAACCCTCGTACACTGGTGGGGCCTCCTAGGTAGAACCTGGACAAAATACACAGCTATC